GTCAATAATCTCAAACCGATGCCCCCAAGTTTCAAAGGGCGCTTCACATCCTCCCATTTGACCAAATGGTATCTTCTGTTACCCTCAAACTCGCCCTACAGAAATCTGCATTGAATGAATTCCAATTTCTTGGCAACACTAGAAGGGATGGTGAGAACAGACATAAGGCAGATGAGAAGGTTTGAAAAAGTGCTTTTAATCAGCGTAGCCTGCCACCTTTTAGAATGTATCTCTTTTTCAATGATCTTCATCGCTGGGCCCTTTGCCCCATTTGGCCTCAATGATCTTCATCCACAAGCTGTTGCCTCTGCCCAATACCTCCGGCTCCATTTTCCCAATAAGGCTCTATTTAGAACAGTCAATGATCTCAAATCGAGGCCCCCAAGTTTTAAGGGGCGCTTCACATCCTCCTATTTGACCAAATGGTATCTTCTGTTATCCTCAAAATCGCCCCACAGAAATCTGCATTGAATGAATTCTAATTTCTTGACAACACTAGAAGGGATGGTGAGCACAGACATAAAACAGATGGGAAGATTTGAGAGAGTGCTTTTAACAGCATCGGCCTACCACCTTTTAAAAGGTATCTCCTTTTCCAACCGGCTAGTCTGTTCTCAAACAATTTAATGACAGGCTCCCAGCTTCTCTCATTGTTATGTTTGGCGCCTAATGGGAGATCAAGATATTTGATTGGTAAGAGAATCCCATTAGTGCCATCGCAAATTCTCACCAATTCTGATTTATTCATATTGATTTTAAGCCCGATTATAGCTTGAAAACATAGTAATACACATCTCAAGTCAAGTAGCATAGAAGTCTCCGGCTGACAAAAGATCAGGGTGTCATTGGCGAAGAATAAATATGATATTTCCAAATGAGACCTGTTGTCTCCTGTGGGGATGCCTTTAATCATATTACACACTCTAGCTTGCTCATGGAGTCTGTTCAAGGCCTCCATAGCAATAATGAACAAGAGATGGGAGAGCGGGTCACCCTGTCTCAAGCCTCTGGACGCCTTGAAAAAAGATGAAGGTCCGCCATTGACAAGGACCGAAAGCTAGTAGTGGAGATGCACCATCTGATCCATTTCCTCCACCTCCAACCGAATCCCATTCTATCCAACATATAGTCAAGGAAATCCCAACAAACATGGTCAAATGCTTTCTCCATGTCTTGCTTGCAAATGATCCCTAAATCTAGGGTGTCTTATCCTAACCCTCCAGGCAACTAGATCTAGGGTTTCCCGCCCACACTTCTTCCCCTTCATCCTAGCCAGAAATAGCATATTGGAACTATGGCTTACCATCCAAATTATTTCTCTTCATCTGAGCCATCCTAGTAGCTACCCTAGCATCTAGTATCTTACTCGTTTTTA